GAGTGGCATTATTAGGAAGTGTGACTTTGTTGGAGTGGGTACGACCTTGTTGGAGGAAGTGCGTCACTGTGGGGGGCGGGCTTTGAGTTTTCACATACTTAGTGTGCCACCCAGTGTGTCCGTTGACTTCCTATTGCCTGCAAAACGCAGCCCGCTCAGCTCCAGCACCACATGTGCCTGCAGGCCGCCATGCTCCCTGCCGTGACGGACTGAACCTCTGACCTGTAAGTGAGCAGTGAAACTGATTTAGTAATGAAGTAATTATTAAGTGTTTTCTTTGTAAGAGTTGCCTGGTCATGGTCTCTTCAAAGCAATAAAAACCCACACTAAGACACTCAGCCATCAGAAAAATGCAAATTAAAACCTTGAGAGTCTATCTCACAGCAGTTGTAATGGCTACCTACCTATGAGCTAGAAAATAAATGACAACAAATACTACCGAGGGCACGGGGAGAAGAGACCCCTTTACTCACTGCCAGTGGGGGTGTAAACTGGTGTAGCTATCACCGACATCCATGTGGAAGCTGCTCATAAAGTGAAAACAGAACTTTCATGAGAACCAGCTAAGCGCTAATGCTGCAACCGTAAGTCGTAAGTTGCTCGGGCCAGGCAGAACTTGGTAGGTTCTCTAATCTTTGTCCTTGCCCCCAAAGTCAAACATGCGCTTCGAATCCTTCACACCGGGTGTCCTCTTGTAACTGCTGCTTTAATTGAGCCCCGCTTCTTCAAGCCAAGCGGTGTGAAAATAGGGCACACCTGTACCTCGTCTTCCTTTACATGCTAATGGATTTGCATTCCTTGGCCTGTGAGGCGCTGCCAAGAATGCAGGTGGTTGGGGATGATAAAAGTTCGGGCTTAGAAGCTTTGGCTTCATTGGTTGGTCTTTATTTTTGCACTGCACTGTGGCATACATAGGTTTTGTAGGTTGTTAGGCTTCCAAATCATCCCGACTGCTGTTCATTGATTTCTTCATTACTAAGTATTTATGGCAGGCGTGGTGGCACACGCTTGTAATCCCAGCACCTAGGAGGCCAAGGCAGGATTGCTAGGTAACAGCAGCAAATACTGGCCGAACATATTAATGCCCTTCGACTGGATGGCCAAGCCATCTTCATAGTGTCTACCCCGGTCCATGTTTTTTTCCAGTCAATCTTCTTCTTTCCCTTTTAAACAGAGCCTCCCTGTGTAGCCCAGGTTGATCTGGTACTTATATTTGACCAAGGCTGGTGCTGAATTCATGATTCTGTTTCTGTTTCCTGAGGGCTGACATTACAAGACATGCATCGCCCTGCTTAATGGCTTCAAGTTGGCCTGTCCTGGGAACCTGCACAAAAGAAGAGTTCGAAGAAATGCCCAATGCATGGTGTTTATATACCATTTGGACTAAGAACTTGGGAAAGGATGACAGACAGGACAGTGAAGATCTAGGGCTGGGCAGTATAAATTCCAGCGATGTCCTAAAGGGTCGAAGCCCGTGGGATGCCACTGAGTGTATGCACAACTGAAATGAGCTATGCTTCCAACTGAATTTTGTATCTGTTCATGAGTCCGTGGTAGTCGGTGTTCCTCACCAAGATCTGGGATGACCAAGTTTCACATCAGGGATGCGAGTGTTACAGCTCCGGAGGGAAAGGTATCCCCACTTGTCGGGAAGTTAGGCTATGCCTGGAGCTGCAAAGAAGGGACAGCTCTGGAGGCTGGAGCTGCAAAGGGACAGCTCTGGAGGCTGGGGCTGCAAAGGGACAGCTCTGGAGGCTGGAGCTGCAGTAGGACAGTCCTGGAGGGGAGCCAGGCTATACCTGAAGCTGGGGTGTGGTAGGGGATAGTCTCCCTAGAAGATCAGCAATCCTGCTCCTCTCCTAGAGTCTTTACAGCTGAGCTCTGCTCTGCTCCCCTAAGGGAACGTCCTAGCCTAGCTATCCATTTCTCCTCTGCTCAGCTCCTGCCCAAGCTGTTACTTCTTCTGCTTCTCTCTGCTAAAAGGGAAGTCTCTGTAGAAATGTAGTAATCTCCTCCAGCTCAGACAAGAAGTGACGTTTTCTGCTACACCCCTAAGGGAGTTTCCCAGCAGATGTAACTGTTTCTTATGGTTTCTCTGCTCAGCCCCACAAAGGAAACATGTCAGTAAAGGTTCTTCTGCTCCGCTAGTGAAAGATGACCCTCACCCACAACTCTTTTAAGGAAGAGATTTATTTGGGAGGGAGTCCAGGAGAGTGACTGCCCCTCCCAGGGTGGAAAAGGACATCCCACGACTGAACAGGCAGACAGGCTTATATTGGGCTTCTTAAGGGCAGACTTTTCCCAGGGATATTTTTTCTGCTCAGGGATTGGTTAGTTTTCCTGCTCAGGGATTGGTTGGTTTAGTTGGTCAGGGGCAGAGTTGGCTCTGGTTTCAGGATATCAAACTGTGTTTCTTTCACTGGCCCTTTTTAGCCTTTTGACTCTATTTTCAAGGCTAAGGCATATTTCTTTCAATGGCTCTGGTTCTAGGGTCAAACTGTGTTTGGCTCAGGTTTCAGAGTCAGGGAGTGTTTCTTAGGTTTAGGGCTAAAGTGTTTCTTTCACTGGCCCAGGTTTCAGATCCAGGGTGTGTTTCTTTCACTAGCTCTGGTTTTAGGGCCAGGGTGTGTGTGTGTGTGTGTGTGTGTGTGTGTGTGTGTGTGTGTGTGTTTCACTAGCTCTGGTTTCAGGGCAGGGTGGGTTTCTTTGGCTAACCCTTTTACCCTACAAGGGACACTGCAGCTCCAATTCCCATTCTCTGGTGATTAATTTCCATTGGCAGGTGAATGATATTCTTGCCCAAACATTATGGCTTGTTTGGGGGGAAGACAGGCCAAACATCCTTTCAAGAAGTTGCAGGTCCTTAACCAATTTCAGCTTGAAATAATCGACCAATATAGCGTATTTTGTTCTAGTTCCTCCACCACCTTTCTATTTACAGGGAATTCAAAACAAAGAATTGGACACTGAGGTACTATTAAAAAAAATAAAAAAAGAGGAAGAGGAAGGTGTCCTATCATCCCCAGGAGGAAGGCAGAAGCCTGGACGCTTAGCAGCTGAACATCGGATGTGATGCTGCTGTTCAGTCACACCAGAGCCTTGGTGTTGAATAGGGGCTATGGGCCATGTACCAGGCAGACATCAGAGTGGGCACTGGATGCTGGTGCTGTAACAAGCACTTGAAACTGCTGCTAAAAATTACTTGAGCCCCAAGGGGTCTAAAAGCAAGACAAAGATGGCATCTTTGCCTTTGTGTCTGCCTGTCTCTTTGAGGCTCAGGCTCCTGCTTGACTCTGCAGAGGCATTCAGTGTCTGTCTACCTAAATCTGTCTCATTCCTGTTAAGGCTGGGACATAAAGGTAGGCCATTATCTTAAACTGGCAAGTCATCTTAGATTTCCTTAGAAGGACAAAGACAGTCAGTCTGGTTCCCACCCAAAGTGAGTTCAATCTTCCATGATGGTGACCTGGAGCAGAAGTGATCACGTTGTAAGAACCAGACTGCAACTCCCTTACATGAGAGCAGCAAGAACTCTGGACCACCTTGGAGAACTGGATCCAAGAGAACACCTTGACTCAGAGTGCTTAACTATGCTGACCTCTTGCCCTGTCCTGATTCCTGCTGTTTAAGCTCAGTTCCTATCAGTACCCCCTTTGGAGGTACTGCCTTTGCATTGGGAGTCACTGGATCAGATTCCTTTACCTGCTCCCTTCTCAATGTGGACACACCGAATCAATCCTTTTCTGCTTTTTACCCTTTCTTCTCTTTAGCTGGTGCACTGGGAAGGGATCACGGGCTGCTCTGGACTGGTGTGAACAACCACGAGGACAAAGGAATAGGGACAAGGAGGAAGCCCGTGAAAGGCCTGTCTGATCTCCTCCAGCCTTCCCTTTCGTCTCTACTGATGTATTTCAGAAAGAAGCTGGTTGGCGTCGGAGAAATGATGTTTGTTCAGCCCCAAGCAAATGCCAAAGGCAGGTATGACCGAACCCTGGGAACCATGGGATCAGGAACTGTGACCCAACAGAGGTAAAAAAACATTCACGGAAGATGAGTGTGGTGGCCCCACTTTAAATCCCAGCACTGGGGAGGAAGAGACAGGCAGATCTATGTGAGTTTGAAGCCAGCCTGGGTTCCACAGCACATTCCAGGCCAGCCAAGTCTACATAGTAGGCCGGGTCTCAAAACAAACAATTCAGGCTTGAAAAGTTGTGCCTGTGTTGAATGTAGACTTTCTCATTATGCCCCAAACAACACAGCAGAAAGATGATTCTACATCTGTATTAGATTCAGCATGGTTTCTAATCTGGGGGTGGTATGCACACTTTACCACTGATTAGGTGCTTATGAATTCTCAGATGTGGTGTTCTCCAGAATTTCTAAAAACAGAGCCTTCCCTCATTCCTAAGAACCACCATATACAGAGGGCAAATTCAAATTTGAGAAGGCATAGCTCAGTATCTGCTGGAGTTCACCGCTGGATCACACAGCTGATACACAAACAAAGCTTCTAAATATAACTCAACCACTACCATGAGAAATTCATCTTTATTTCTCCTTAATAAACTGCAAATGTCTGTGCTACAAAAAGTATCTTCAAAAGTGAGCAAAGTCCCAGCTGATACAGCATCATTCCCTAGGAGGCTCACTCTGTCTCTTTGGTCACAGGCCTACCTGAGTATTCTTGACTAACTCACAGAGCCGAGGTCACACAACAGAGATCCAGAGAAATGCAAGTCCTCAGCATGCATCTCCACACAAACAGGCAGACAATTCCATGTGCTGATGTACTTAGAACAGGGTCTAGTGAGTGCTAAATTCTATCAAGTTGTCCCCTGAGAAACTGGTAATTGCTCTTGACTGACGCAAGGAAGCCTTTTGGGTTTAATCTTATATCAGTACATTCTCAATTAATGGCTAGACTTTATAAGTTATTTGTATAAGGCTGCATTACTAAGTAGGACTAAAATTGTTTCAAAGTGTAAAAAAACCCAGAAAAGTATAAGAAAACATGTTTATTACAGAATATTAGAAAAATGACCCAAGTGACTGCTTTAAATAAACAAAACCCATACCACTATAGATGAGAAAACCCGGCAGCATCAGACATTTCAGCTGGAGAGGCATATCTGTTCCTGGTGAATCACTTCTGGAAAGATCCCAAATATCTGAGTCCAAAGTGAATGTATGAATTGGCTTGACATGATTCAAAACGTAAACTATAAATATAAGGGCAGTTGGAACAATGGCGGTATTAGTTTATAATAGTCAATCCAGGACAATAGCTAGAGAGCTGTTCATATGTGTCCTGTCTGTGTGTACACACACACAATCAAAATCAGGTCAAAACCTAGGGAGTGGCATGTGCCCATACATCTGAAGACCCTGAAGAATGCCACTAAAAGGATGTATAACATCCAGTACACATCTGTCTCAAGAACAGCACATTTCCAAAATTATGCACTTCTTTACAGGTAAACATTGGAGTATTAACCACTACAGACACCACAGGGTGACTGCAAACCACACTGTGCTCACAGGCACCTGCTGTATCAGAGGCATCCATTTTAATCCTGGGGCTTTAAGAACATCTTCTTTGTTTTAATGGGTTTTATATTTCCATTTTCATCTTCTTCGTAATTGGCTCGGTCCCTCTTCTTGGCAAACTTTTTTCCAATTGTTCCCACCAAAGTCTCATATCTGTTAGGATGATACACAGCACAAATTTAATTTCAAATAAAAAAGTAGGAATCAAGGCTTGCCAAAAACATCAAGCCAAATAAAACAAGAAACACAAAATTTATGATAAAAAGAAATTGCCTGAGTTAAAAATCCATGCAACCGAGTAAGGATGATTAAATTCTCTGCTGGTTTTGTTTCTGCATCCCCCATACAAACTGAGAAGTATGTTTACAGTCACTGGAGCTACCAGTGGCCCTGAGCCCTCACAGCCAGCACACTCCAGCGTGAAGCCACTGGGTCATTAGGAACGGGCAGCGTGCGCATCTCCCCACTGCACACTGTGCAGTCAGAGCGCTGGGGAATGGGGCGACTCCCAGAGGACAGTTACCTTCTGGCCATTTCCTCATCTGACACATCGACCTCCACAGTCTCATCATCATCTTCTGCTGCTGCTGCTTTGTTCCTGGAATTCATCTGAAGCATTAACTTCTGAAAAAGACACCGTGCTGGCGTCAGGGAGGCCTGGTGTCAAAGCTGTCTTCTAACAGAGACACTTACGCACAGAACTGCTTGTGAGATTAGACGAAACTCAAGGGGGTCTGTGCAAAACTTCATGCCACAACCGCCAACGGCACCAGCGGGGAAACCTCAGAGTGCTGGCTCAGTGTCAGGTGAGCTGTTACTTGGATCACACAGCCTACCTGTCACTCATATTAAAGGGGGCACACGGCTGACAGTGAAGGGAAAGAAGTAAGAAAGCCGAAGGCTCCCACACTTCTGGGTGGACAGTGTGTCTCAGACACCGTCCCTGAGCGCTTGCCCACCCCCTTCTCTCACCGCCCTACTCATAACGTGATTTCTGACCGACTTTTACAGTGACGTCTTTCCAACCAAGGAGGCCTAGGAGCGCAGGCCAATGAGAAGGCCTTCACAAACACCTCATGGCCGACAAACCACTGCTGAGAGAACAGACTCTAGGGCAGAGTCCAGTGGCTGAGCATCTCTCACACCAAATTCTGAGGTGTTACACCTGAACGGTGACATTGAGGAGATACTCTGTGGGGCTTGCCCACCTAAACCCCACTCTCTCTAAACGCAGATTCATGAACCCCCAATGTTTCTTTTTGCCCCACAGTCTCCTGCCCATTTAAAACTTAAAGGAGGTTGGGACAGAAAAAAATGAATACCAAACCCAAACATTAGTGTGGACTCTGTATAAATAAAAAAATTGGACTATAAGTACATTCCACGTATATCTCCTCCATAAAAAATACTCCCCCCATCAACACTCCACCTTTAAATAAACTGCGGTGTGGGCTTAGGTGACTGTGGTTTTTCAGAGGCATCCAGAAAAGTGATTCTCATTGGGGACGTTCTACCCATCGGGGGCCAGATGACCATGCTCAGAGACACTTTTAATCCCAGCTGAGTTGGAGGAAGTCTGCGTGCTACTGGCATTTAGAGGGTGGAGGTCAGGTTTGGGGGGTAGCTTAGGTCACCCTTTAACATCCAGGACAGGCACCATGTAACCTAGCTGCTGTATCACCGCCTAGACTGAGGAGCCATGGCTAAAGGTTTCACACCACAGGTCTGCGTGGGTCAGTTCCCAGGAGGGTTCCCGACACAGGCACCAGAGTTCTTCCAACTGTGACAAAGTAAACTCCTGCTTGTCTGTGACACTGAGTCAGGAGATTAAACCAACAGCCACAAGGTGAACATTCATTTTTTCAAACAGACTTTCCAAAGGATTCACATTTAAAAAAAAGAAAAGAAGAAAAAAACCAAAACAATCTATTTAACAGCTTGGATTAAAACCCGTCCATTACTAAGTGAAATGACACCATTTTTAAGCAGCATTTTTCCATTAAGAATGAGACATTTACAGAAGCCGGAAAATAACTCCTCATAACGGCAGCGAATGAATAGTCTTGCCGCTCCTGCGAAAGACTGAGTGGAAACTAACGCGGTGGCAGCATCAGGGACGGCACACCGCTATATTAAATTACCCACTCAATTCTTCCATAAAACCAGACTGCCACGCTGCAATTTCTTTAAGTAGCTATGGCAATATTTCAAGACTTGTTATTTTTCACATAATGAGAAGAAATGGTACCTGGTGGGGAGAGCCCGAAGCTCAATTATTGGCAGGGAAAAAATTCAATTGTAAAAAATTTTTAAATTTGAAGCAATTATATTTAATACCTCAACTTCGGGATTAAATCCTCTGAATGACATCCTTCCATAGAGAAGATCTTCACATAGTGAGAAGCTCTGCTCTTCTATGATGAAACTCCTGAGCAGGAGAAGAAACTCATATTAACAACCAAGCGCAGAAGCAGAGATCAAGCCTGAATGGAAATTCAGCTTCTGAGTATCAGAAGGAGCATGTAAGAGCACAGTGAGATCTTTAACCAGGGTGAGAAGTAAGAGCTGATCCAGCAGTCAGCAAAGGCACAGGGAGATAGATGAGGCATGGCTTCCTCCGATCTCTGTAAGAAATTACATCACACAAAGACCTCAGGGATTTCTGATAAACTTGAGCTTTCCGGAGCAGAAGCAGAGACCTGACTCATGTACAACCCCAAGTGCTCGTTAAATATTCTGGAGAGGAGGACAATTAAAACACAGGGCGGGAGGAAACAGCAGGTCTGAGCAGCTCTCACGGAAGGTGTGACTAGGTGGAGCTCTTGGCTAACTGGCCTTGATGGCTTAGCTTCAGCAGAGGAGGCGCTGGAGAAAGCTGGAAAGCTGGACCAGCAGGACTGGAAATGATGCTCCAGAACTAACTGCAGCCATGGAGAGGGCTTGGCAAGGGAAAGCACACACAGCATGGGCACAACCGCTCTGGGGAACAGACCCCAGGATGTCTGTCCTAAGAGAGATTCTTTAGTCACAGGTTCAAACCCCAAGAACAAGGCAAGCACATTCTCCAGCACAGGCCTGGCCTCGGACTCCTTCATGGGATCCTGCTCTACTTCTCATCAGTAACTACCCACTCCCCCAACACTCACAAACACGCACAGGTGTGCAGGGGCTGGGGAGTAGCTAGGACGGAAAGAGCCTCTGCTTTCGTGGGCGTGCTGGTACAGATATGGTGCCAGGAAAGAAAACCTTCAAAAGCACAGGTCATCCCAATCCAGGCCCCAGAGGGAGGAACCACACTCAATTAGCAATACCACAGCCAATAGACAAAACTGAACACAACTATTTCCACAATGAAATCATCGAACTCTGATAACTGTGAAGAAATGCCAAGTGAAGGAATGTCCCCATTGGGAGCAGAACAGAAGCCAGCCTTGCCTTTGCTTGAGTGGCAAACCCAAGTTCAGGACCACAGAGGGAGGTGGCTGGAACACGTGGGTCAGGATGGCAGAAAGACACACGGAATCTGGGACCTGCTGCGAGGTCTCTGGGACTCTCAAGGTGAGCCCACAGCTAATGACAAGGCGCTCCTGGGAGGACAGCGCTCTGACGCAGCAGCTTTCTGCGGCCACTTGTAACGATTACCTCAAAGTCGGCAGCTTAAACTGCTGTAAACTTAGGCTCGCACAGCATCAATCCCGTGACAGACTCCAGATCATTCTGGAGACGAGGGCAAAGGCAAGGCTGGAGCAGGGCTGTAGTCCCCAGAGACAGTTATCTCTTGCCTTTCTGGGGGTGGGGGGGCCACACCACTGCAATCTTCGCCTCTGTGGTCAAAGCCTTCTTTCTCTTACAAGGTGTTATGGTTGGTTCTCCGAGGTCCATGTGACAGAGGCTTGGTCTCCAGTGAGGCCATGTGAGAATGACGGAGCCTTTAAGATGTGGGGCCTAGTGGGAAGTCACTAGGGGCGCCACGTTCAGAAAAAAAAAACCCAAAAACCAAAACCAAAAAGTAGGTGGTTTCTGGAGTCAGCTCTCGTGTCTGGCTTCTATAGCCAGAGCCTGACCTGTGTCCCTGACTTCCTTGCCTCAAGCCACCACCTCTGATTTCACAAAGTCCTTTCACACCAGGCTCTTTACAGCCCAGCGGATGCCAGCATCATGCCCTTGATGTTCCAGAATAGTGAGCTAGATACATCTCTCTCCTCCTTAGGCCACCCAGCCTCAGGCACTTCATTACAGCAATAAAAACCAGACTAGCATGCCAGAGAACACAATTTTTATTTAGAATTTACCCAAATAATCCAGGATTGTCTCGTACTTCAAGATCCTTAACTTAATCACAGCAACAAAGCTTTTTTTTTTTTTTGCCAAAGGTTACTTGCTTGAGATGTAGTCCTGGGTATACATTATTTGGGGCATTTCTAGCCTATTATATCTGGGAAGTAAAGTGTATCCTGCCATATACATTGAACAAACACGACAACATGCACAGAACAGGGGGATGCTTGAGTTCTGTCCAGTAGAGACAGTTCTGTCCAGTATCCCTGGGATACATAGACAACTGGCCCAAACTAGGAGGATGGCTAATTTAGTCAGGGCAAAGATGAGAAAATTCACCGTCACAGTGAGCTGACGGGCATGTCAGTCAGTTGTCTACTGGAACAAAATCCTACACTTGCTTAATGGAAACAACTACACTCAGAGAACCAGCAATGTTCACCCTCACACACAAACCACTAGACAAGCAAAGAGCAGGAAAACACAGTCCTCACTCACAGGAAATCAAGAGATGATGAAATTAGTTAAAAAAACAGTTCAAGAAGTTTAAGCGTTTTATAAACATGCCTGAGAATTTCAATCAAAATATGAAGGCTGCCAGGCGGTGGTGGTGCACGCCTTTAGTCCCAGTCCTCGAGAGGTAGAGGCAGGTGGGTATCTGTGAGTTCAAGGCCAGCCTGGTGTACAAGAGCTAGTTCCAGAACAGGCTCCAAAGCTGAAAGAGAGAGAGAGAGAGAGAGAGAGAGAGAGAGAGAGAGAGAGAGAGAGAGAGAGAAAGAAA